CCCCAAACCCCAAAACCCCAAAACCCCATCAGACTTAATACTTAACTTTAATGATATCAAAAGTAATTTAGAAAGAAATAAAGCAAAATATTTATATAGAAATTATATGATATTATTCAATCATTTTGATTCAGCTGGCTACTGAACTACTCTTGCTTTATTATGCTTAGGTAATTACTCTGATAGGAAAGCGCATAGTTCCTTAATTCCGACCTTCTTTGCTTCCTCATTAGGCTCTTAGTTTTTCCTAATCTTACCATCATCGTAAACTACTGAGTAAGATTCCAAATGAGTGCCTCTCGACACTGTCACTGCAGGATTGATTTAGCAATAGTTGTCAACTCTACTATCAATGATTGCACATCTATGCTAGAATTCATTCATGTCTCCAATGTCTGTTGATTCGATGGTTGAATATACTTCAAATACATTATAGCTACCAATAATCATCTTCCTCTTTACAGGCTAGCCATTTTCATCTTTTTTTAGTCGGTTGATGATTTTAACTTTTTCTTCTATAATATTGTATTCTCCAATATGAATATCTCCTCCCTCTGCTATAATACTGCATAATGGATGCACTATACAATTATCACCGAATGTGACTCTTCCAACAATCTCAGTTTTCTCTGCTATAAAAGTCTTTGGACCTGAAGGGCTCTCACTTTTCAACTATGTGGAAGAATCTCCCTTAGCAGTTTATCCTCTTGCACTACTTTAGCCTCCTTACTTATTTGACTCAGGAGTTGCAAGTTTTTCTTACTGAGGTTGAGGCTATCTTTACTACTTATCTTATGGGTTTCCTTCCATTTAAATATTTTTAAATTTATAAATATAATAATTAAATAATTGATCAATAATGTCGATTTGTAGAAAAAGAGACCCAAATAAGCCTCGAAGTGCAGTCATCGTATTAGGCGACCTTGATAGATCTCCAAGAATGCTTAATCATGCACTTTCACTTGCTCTTTCAACTAAAATGTTGGTAGACATGATCGGATATAGAGGCAATTCATTGCCATAGTCACATTTGGATTAAGAATCTATTCGACCAAGATATCTTTCAACAAAGATTATTGATAAGCTCAAGCAACTTCCTAGAGCTCTCTATCCACTTTATGCTCTACTCAGAATTCTGATTCAAATCATCCAACTAATAATAGTTTTCCAAAGTGAGCATTATGACTATGTGATAATGTAGAACCCACCTTGTATCCCGCTGATGCTTGTACTTGCATTCTTGAAATTGACACGACTCAACAATCAGAAAGTCATTATTGATTGGCATAATTATGGCTATAGTATTATGAGAGTAAATAGAGTTAATAAGTATATAGTTGCACTTGCTAAGATATATGAGACAAAGTTAGGAAAGTTAACAGGTGATCATCATTTATGTGTTTCTTAAGCTATGCAAATAGATTTGGTCAATAAATTCAACATCTCAAATACTCCTCATGTCCTATATGACCTAGCTACAGTGAAATTTCAATAACTCAATACTCAATAAAAACATCAGCTATTCAAAAAGCTTAATCTAAACAATTTAGGAGAAGAAAATAATGAGAATAAAAGTTTGTTTACTGAGTTTAATACCGAAACAAAAAAATATCAATATAGATAAGATAGACCTGCTTTGGTTTTAAGTTCAACATCTTACACTCCTGATGAAGATTTTATGGTTTTAATAAATGCTCTTGATTAACTACAAATTAAAGTAGATGATCTAAGAAATATCAGTAAATCATTTACTTTCCCTAAAATCTAGCTTGTCGTAACAGGAAAAGGTCCACAAAAGGATCATTATGTCTAAATCTTTAATGAAAAAAACAAGACCTGGAAAGATTTTAATATCAGAACTGCTTGGTTAGAAGTTGATGATTATCCAAAGATTGTAGCTTCAGCAGATCTTGGAATATGCCTACATTACTCATCTAGTGGTCTTGATCTTCCAATGAAAGTAGTAGATATGTTCTCTGCAAAAACACCATGCTTAGCCTACAAGTATCAATGCATTGATGAACTAGTTGTTGATTAGACCAATGGAAGAGTCTTTTCTAATGAAGAGGATTTAATGGAATAGATCTTTGATACCATTAAGAGTTTCGAACCCCAGAATGAATTAGGTGGTACTGAATCTCTCAGAAAGTACAAAAAGAACTTAGAGGAGTTTTCTAATAAGAAATGGCATCCAGAATGGGTGAAGGCATTCTAAGGAAGAATTATTGCTAATGAATTATTTAGAGATAATAAGGATGTAAAGCAATGATGCATCTGAGATAAGAATAATGCTATTATTGCATTCACTTATTTTATTTCAAGATTAATCCTCAATTAATTTCATCAATACGTATTTGAATTGTAGATTACGGGGTTTTGGGGTTTTGGGGTTTTGGGG